GCTGGACATCTGTTCCCCACTCCAGCACTGCCTCTGGTAGTGGCCATAGCATCTTCTGCGGTCCCTTGTTCAGAGTTCTAACCACTCCAGAATCTCCTCACTCCCACGGTGGCTCTGCAGAGGGCGCGACCAACACTCCCTGGCTTTCCTTGGATTGCCTGAAAGTCCTGAGTTCTGGAGAGAGAAAAAGACAAACAAAAAACCTCAGTCCCAGGCAAACCAGGACCTCCCACCTCTGTGGGTCCCCCTCAGCCCTGCTCACCTTCCGGGAAAGCAATCACTCGACTAAAGTCAATGGTATTGAATCATCTTGGGTAAATTCCTTCTGGGATTCTGAATAGCACAATCCCTGCACTGCGCTATGCAGTCAGTGTTGTTGTTAAATCCTAGTTCCAAAGGAGGAAGCATCTGAACAGGGAGAGGTGAAGGAATTTGGTCCGAGTCACACCACTGGTCCATGGCAGAGCTGTGATTTGAGCCCAGGATTCGGCTCCAGGCTGTGTTACCCCCCCCACTGCACTGCCTCCTTCCTACAAGCCTCCTGGGTGGGGGGGTAACCTTGTTGGAAAGATCCATGGGCCTGAGGAAGGGGGGTCAACTTCCCCCATAAAGCAGCAGCATGAATGGAGAGTGGAGACAACCAGAAGGGCAGGAGCAACCCTGTGGAGACTGACAGCTGGTGAGACTGCAGAGGTGGCTAAAAAACAAACCCTTCCCCGCCCCTCCTTGTACCTGCCCCTGGACTCCCACATCCCTGGCTTCCTGCAGAGCTTCCTAAAGGACAAGGAAGGAGAGATTTCTAGCCTCCTGTGCAGACAGGAGCAGAGATGGGATGAGGATGGGAGCCAACAGATAGGAAAGTTAGGGGGTAGTGTCAGTCCCCATCAGAGTTTCCAGGCACAAGCTGAGCTGAAGGCCCCTGTGCTAGATACAGGGAAACAGCCTGATGGGGGTAGACAGGAGGGAGGGGGAGCAGGCCAGGCTAAGAGAGTCGCTGGGATCCACACCAGAGCCCTGCCAGACAGAGGACACAGGACAGCAACAAATGCAGCCAGGCTGTGCGGGAGTCAGGGAGGGCCCGTGGGGGGTAAAGGTGGGGCGTTGCAGGTGTCCGAGAGGAGGAAAATTGGGCCCAGACTTAAGGAAGGAGGAGAAATAAGGATGCATGGGGGGTTCCCAGGTCAGGGGGTGGAGCCTAATGTAGGCAATTAACCAGGGAACCAAGGGACTCTGGTGGAGTAGTGGGTTACACATTGAGCTGCGGTCTACAAGGTCACCCGTTCAAGGTCACCCACCGCTTTGCAGGAGAAAGACGAGGCTTTCTACTCTTGTAAAAAGTGACCATCTCAGACCCGCACAGGGGCCCTTCTGCTCGATGGCAGTGACCTCGGTTTGAGTTCATCCGGGGGACAAACTTTTAAAGTTGCTGCTGTCAGCGCTGATGCAGGGAGCTGGAGGGTGTCCCAGGGCACCGCTGGAAGCCACGAGAACCATTTGATTAGAAGGGGAAGTCAGACACCTGAC